GATGAGGATGTTTGTGTATGTGTATGAGAGGGAGGGTGAGGGTGTGTCTGTGCATTGTATGACATGTTGCTGCCTGGAGTATTTGCACATGGGTATTCATTGTGGTTACAATCATTGAATTCTGCTGGAGAACAGGGTAAATAAGGGTAGATGAGACAAATTATATATAATTATCATTTTATTAAACAATTTTTCCAGCTGGACATCATATGTAATTAAACATTGATTATTTTTATTTTCTACTGTGTACTGTACATATCTATTTGTGGATAGTTCTAATCTATGCAAATGACTGCCATTGTAAGCTTGTAAATTTGTCATTTAAAAAGACTTCCAAGAGCATAACCCTCACTGATTGTGGGATTTTAACTTTGAGGCTTTAACTTTGTCATGTTTATGTACAGAACTCTCTGGCCAGTGGCTGATGCAGAGCTGGGAGTGGAAATCAGATGTCCCTGCTCCTCATCAGTCTACCTAAGTGCCAGTCTCAAGCGAGTATGGTTTATTATCTGTTAATGGATGTGGGTATTGCTGGTTGGACAATGATGTTGTAGTGAGGGAATTGAGCAAGGGCGAGGTACACCTCAAGTGTTTACCGCACTGAACATCATTGAAGAGAACGTCCCTCTGCTCTCCCCTAGCATACTGCCCACCACCCCACCCCGCCACCCACTCCCAGATCAATGCAAATGTTTGTCAACCATGTCCACCTCAAGCCGCTCATTTCATATACTTGAATAGAGCACAGGCTAGGGAGAACCCAACTGGACATATGACAGCTGTTTGTAAGATCTTGCTTTGTGGTGGTGGCGGTATTTTCCGATATAACTGAACTTTACATGGGAAGATTAATGTGGAAGTGGGTGTACATTTTAAATGGGGTGGGGGCTCGGCTATAGGACACATGGTGGGGGAAGTGGGGGATCATGGGTAAAAAAGGAGGTAACAAACTGCTCAGCCCTCAGCACTGTGACATATTCATAACTTCACTGAGTTTTAAAATGTCACCGTGACACCTAATGCCATTTAAATCCGACGTAAAGACAGTCTCCGTGATGGTGACCATGACAACTATTACCAGGTGCTGCAAAAACTCAAATAGTTCACGAATGTCCTTTAGGGAAGGAAATCTGCCATTCTTACCTGGTCTGGCCTATATGTGACTCCAGACCCACAGCAATGTGGTTGCCTCTCAGTTGCCCTCTGAAATGCCCCTAGCAAGCCGCTCAGTTCGAAAGGAGATGGGCAAGAAATGCTAGGTTTACCAATGTACCCATGAAAGCACTTTTATAAATTATGCAGAAATTGCATGTTTGGTTGAGACGTAATCTAGCATTGATTCATAGGTGGCACTTCAGATTAAGAATATGCCACAAAAGTCATTTGAATCTTCATGATGCTGGTCAGATTAGGATGATGTGAACTTTGTTATTTGCAAATGCATTGCTAGATTTTCACCCTGGTGGAACTTGAGAAATTAACACACACCTCTGGAGCAGGTGAGACTTGAACCCAGGCTCCCTAGCATCAGGGGTACAGACACTACCACTCCCCTACTAGAGCCTCTTGCAACAGTTGCATTAGGACCATGTTAGATTATGGAGCTAAATGCGTTGGTTAAAAAGGAAAGTGGATGTAAGCTGTGTGGAACAGTAAAGACCAGTTGGGCTGAAAGGCCTGTTGCTCTGCTGTAATTTTCAGGCAAGTATGTTCAATTCACACCCAATAGCACAGCATGAATACATCTTTCTCTGCCAGGGTGGATTGGTTCTCATGCATACACCTTTAGAAAATCTCAGGGAAAATGTGGAGTGGTTGGCATGGATGAAGGGGTACAGAATGTTTTCTGGGGACAGTCAGGAAATGCCCTTGATTTCCCTCATTGCCAATCTGTCTGTTCTCTGTTTATCAATGATAATCACTGACTTCTAATGTATTACTGGGATTGCATTGTTTAATGTATCACGATACTTAAAACTCCACATTATTTCAGAATTTAAAGACCTAGGAGGCATCTATCAATCTGGTGTCAGTTGCAAATGTTTCTTGAAGCAAAATTTCTCTTTGCTGACACTCAGGGTGTGATGATGTCATCACCATGCATTTCACGTCAACACTGGTGCCTTCAGCAAGGTGGACAAACCATCCTGTCTGATAGAGAAAGAGTGAGAGAGAGAGAGAGAAAGAGAGAGGGGAGGGAGAGAGTGGGAATGAGACTCTGGTAGAAGGAAGCGAACAATAGGAGAGAGGGAGATAGAGCGGCAGAGAGGGAAGAGAGGGATTGCAAATCTTTGGGAGAGACGGACAGCAAGAGAAGGACAGAAAGAAGAGGAGAGAGAGAAAGAGGGGGTACGAGAGGGAATGGGTGAGAGACACAGAGAGAGAGAAGGAAGAATTGGAGTGAGAATGACAGGGGCAGAAAGCAAGCAAGAGAGAATGAGATAAGGTGGAGAGAGTGAAAGGTTGAGAAAATGAGTGGAGGAAGAATGAGGAAGACAGTGAGAGAGTGTGAGTGAGAGAGAGAGTGAGAGAAGAGTGGTTGCTCCACAGAACAGAACAGGTGTTGTAGCGGCTGCTATACAAAAGCTGACACTGTGGAAACTGGTCCTGCCTTTTCAACCCACTGTTTATTGCGGGCAAAAGCAGACATATACACTGGACAGTAACAGGGGCCTTTCAATATCAACAACACTCCCAGCAAACACTTCACTTCTGTGCTTGCTGCCTTGATGCTCCCTGATACTGTACACTGCAGCTTATCCCAGCAGTAGATCAGTGACACTAATACAAGGCTTCTGCTTTCGATATGCATTAACAAGAAAATCAGATCTGTTCATTAATACCACCGAAATGAAAAGATAATCATACCTTTTTTTTCTGCCAAGAACTCCAGCAGCTCTCACATCACCTTGAAACAGATTAACAGCCCTTCTGGGTGTTTTTCCCTCTGATTTCTCCCTTTGCTGAAATATTACTCAGAACCCTTTGCATGTGTTCCACCAGCACTGCAGCATTTGCACTAGGATGTGCTCCTCCTCTTCCAGTAAACGTAGCAGCTCTTGGGAGCTTTCCATTTGCTCAGCTCCAGGGCCACTGAGAGGAGACCTTCGTACATGATTCATGTATTGACAGTTTCCCTAGCATTTTGCTTCTCTCTCTCTCTCTCTCTCTCTCTCACACACACACACAGACACACACACACATATCTCTCTCACACTCCTGTTCTCACTCACCCAAACCTCTACTTCACTTCTCTCTCTCTCACACTTGTCCCTCTGTCTCATACACTCTGTCTTTCTCTCTCACACACTCATGCACTCTCACACACACTTCCCTTCCCTCTTCAACACATCATGTCTTTCTCACATTTTGTCCCACCCTCAGTTCCTCCTCACACATACCCTCCCTCCTTTTTACACTCTCTCTAACGACATCACTATTTTTTAAACCCACTCACTCTCACTCACTCCCTTGTATTCTCACACAAGCCCTCCTTTTCACACACTGTGTCTCACATTTTGTCTCACTCAATCCCTCTTTCACAGTCTTCTCTCACACTCCCTCTCTCCCTCATGCTCCTTTCTCACAGTCTCCCTCTCACACCCCTTCTCTTTCACTCTCCCTCTCTCTCTGACACTCCCTCTCTTTCACTTCCTCTCTTTCTCACACTCCCCCATCTCAGACTCCCTCTCTCTTGCACTCCTCTCACACTCCCTACTTCTGACACTCCTTCTCTCTCTCAAACATCAATACTCTCACACATTCTCTCTCACTCCCTGTCTCTCACACTCCCTCTCTCTTGCCTTCTTCTCTCTTGCCTTCCTCTTTTACACTCATTTCTCTCTCATATCCTCTCTGCCTCTCACATTCTCTCTCTCATATTCTCTCTCTCACACTCCCCTCTCTCTCACACTCTCTCTCACTCACGCTCTCTCTCACACATTCCTCTTTCTCACATTCCCTCTCTCTCACAAACTCTTTCCCTTATACTCCCTCGCTCTCTCACGCACTCTCTCTCTCACACTCCCCCTCTCCCTCACACCCCTTCTCTTTTGCAATCCCCTCCTCTCTCACACTCCCTCTCTTTCGCACTTCCTCTCTCTCGCTGCCACTCTTTCTCACAGTCCTTTTCTCTCTCACACTCCCCCCTCTTTCACACTCTCTCTGACTCTCACACTCTCTATTTCTGACACTCACTCTCTCTCTCAAACACCATTATACTCTCACACACTCTCTCTCACGCACACTCCCTGTCTCTCACACTCTCTCTCTCTCTCACTCTTTCTTTCACACACCAGTATTCTCTCACACTCACTCTCTCTCAAATGTCACCTCTATTTTTTACACCTTCATTCTCTCTCAGACATACACTTTCTCATTTATGTTGCATACACATACCTAACATGACAACTTGTCAAGACTGCCCTGGGGTCCCTTAATCTCAGGGAAACTTAGTGAGCCAAACTGAATTAAATGAAAAAAGCATACTTAAATAATGGTGTTATTTTGTTTATTAATTGGTTACATAAACCTTGGGAATGGGGGAAAAGGATAAAGCTGCACTCTGCTCTGTTGGGGAGTTATGTGCAAAGTTTCTCCAATAATGAATCATAGAATCCCTACAGTGCAGAAACAGGCCCTTCACTCCAACACTGGCCCTCACAGAATTCCACCCACATCCATCCCTGAACACTACAGGCAATTTAGCATGGCTAATCCACCTAGCCTGCACATCTTTGGACTGTCGGAGGAAACTAGAGCACCCAGAAAAAACTCATGCAGGCATGGGGAAAGAACGTGCAAACTCCACACAGACAGTCAGCTGGAGGTGGAATTGAATCCAAGTCCGTGGTGCTGTGAAGCAGCAGTACTAACCACTGAGCCATCATGCCACAATGATTGGCCACACTTGGGCATGTGTTAGTGCAATGCATGATAGAAAGATGGTGACAAGGCTGGAATGGAATTGTTTTGTGTACATTATCTTTGAGAAACAAAGGACAAAAAATTTGTGACAACCTTCATGAAATTTCTGAAGTTGATTTGTGAAGAAGTTTAAGCGTTTTGAAAGAACATTGTGTGTTACAACACACAGGTAAGGTCAGAAGTCACACGACACCAGGTTATAGTCCAACAGGTTTATTTGAAATCGGAAGCTTTCGCAGCGCTGCCCCTTCGTCAGGTGAAGTGCAGGCAGACACAAAGGCACAGAATTTACAGCAGAGAGGTCAAAAGATCATATGAATGGTGTGAGTAGAGTTTCAACAAGTTGAATAATAAATCTCTGCAGGTGATCAAGTGTCAAGACGGTGTCAGTAAAGTGTTAACAGCTGAATAGTAAGTGTAGGGATGACCTATAATCTAATTAATTGAGGCAGAGAGATAATTATAAAAAATTAAAAATAAGGTGGTAAGGCTCCAGAACTGCAAAGGTTGTGGGCCCTGACAACATTCTGGCAACAGACCCGAGCTCCGGAAATTGCCGCTCCCCTAGCAAAGCTGTTCCGGTACAGTTACAACACTGGTATCTACCCGGCAATGTGGAAAATTGCCCAAGTATGTCCCGTACACAGAAAGCAGGACAAATCCAACCCGGCCAATTACTGCCCCATCAGTCTACTGTCAATCATCAGTAAAGTGATGGAAGGTGTCACCAACAGCGTTATCAGGCAGCTCCTGCTCAGTAATAACCTGCTCAGTGACGCCCAGTTTGGGTTCTGTCAGGACAAATCAGCTCCTGACCTCATTACAGCCTTAGTTCAAACATGGACAAAAGAGCTGAATTCTAGAGATGAGGTGAGAGTGACAGCCCTTAACATCAAGGCTGCATTTGACCATGTGTGGCATCAAGGAGCCCTAGCAAAACTGTGATCAATGCATATCAGGTGCCAAACTGTCTGGTGGTTGGAGTCATACGGCACATAAGGAAGATGGTCATGGTTGTTGGATGTCAGTCATCTCAGCTCCAGGACATCTCTGTAGGAGTTCCTTAGGGTAGTGTCATAAGGTCAGAAGTAGGCATGTTTATTGATAATTGCACAATATTCAACACCATTTGTGATTTTTCAGATACTGAAGCATCCAGGTTTAAATCTGTAGTAAGTTCTGGACAATATCCAGGCTTGGGCTGACAAGTGGCAAGTAACATTTGTGACTCACAAATGCCACGTTATGACAATCACCAACAAAAGACAATCTAATCACCACCCCCTAACATTCTGCTCCTATGATGCTGTTTGGCCTGCTGTGTTCATCCAGCTCTGCACCTTGTTGCCCCTAACATTCCATGCTTTTAACATCTCAGAATCCTCCACTATCCACCTCCTGGGGGTTATCATTGGCAGAAACTCAACTGGACTTGCCACATAAACACATTGGCTACAAAAACAGGTCAGAGGCTAGTAGTACTGCAGCGAGTAACTCACCTCCTGACTCCGCAAAGCCTGTCCATCAGCTACAAGACACAGAGTGTAATAGAACACTCCCCACTTGCTTGGATTAGTGCAACCCTAACAACACCCAAGATACTTGCTACCATCCAGGACAAAGCAGCCCGCTTGATTGGCACCATATCCATAAACATCTACTTCCTCCACCCCCAATGCCCAGTAGCAGCAATGTGTACTATCTGCAAGATGCACTGCAGAAATTCACTAAAGATCCTCAGACAGCACCTTCCAAACCCACAACCACTGACATCTAGAACGACAAGGGCAGTGGATACATAGCAACACCACCTTTAAGTTCCCCTCCAAGCCACTCACCATCCTGAATTGGAAATATATTGCCATTCATTCACTGTCATTGGGTCAAAATCCTGGAATTCCCTCCCTAAGGGCACTGTGGGTCAACGCACGGCAGGAGAAATGCAGCGGTTCAAGAAGGCAGCTCATCACCACCTTCTCAAGGGCAACTAGGGACGGGCAATTAATGCTGGCATCCCACAAATGAATAAAAGAAAAACAAGCAACAAAGTGATGCTCAGTAAAGTGTTCCCACACAGAACTGACATGAGTGTGGATCACAGTTGTCTGCAATGTGGTATAAGAGTTATTATTCTGCCTCAAACTAGAGAGAGGTTGTGAGAGGAACCTCACCAAGAGCACACTGAGATAGTGCAAAAACAGTAACAAAACGCTATTTTTGAAATTCACAGGCAAATAGAGATCTTGAAGAGTCGATGGAAAGATGCCGAGTGTCTCAGAATGAGAAATGATCCAACTAAGGCTCCTTTCATTCCATGGTCAAACACAATGAAACCACAGGAATGAGGGCATGTCGGTTTCTATGAAATGGAAGAGAAACAACGGCCTGTTTAGATCGATAGCAATAGCAAGTGGATAAATGTTGAATCTCTACACAATTTCATGAGTGTCAAAACCATTGCTTTTTTGAGAAGTTAGTTTGAAATTTATGGCTTGCCGGAAATTCATGAATTGGTGTCAGATAATGGCCTGTAGTTTATATCAGAATAGTTTGAAATATTTTTGAGTGAGAGTGGAGTCAAACTCCAAATTTAAAAGAAGAAAGATGTGGACAGATTGTCAAGAGGTCTTTGAGGTTGTATTTTCTCAGTGACAAGCCAGACAGTAACTTCTACATATGAGCTAGTGGGAACTGCAGATGCTGGAAAATCTGAGATAACAAGGTGCAGAGCTGGATGAACACAGCAGGCCAAGCAGCATCATAGGAGCAGGAAGGCTGCCGTTTCGGGCCTAGACCCTTCATCAGAAATGGGGCAGAGGAAGGGTGTTCTGAAATAAACAGGGAGAGAGGGGAAGGTGGATAGAAGATGGATAGAGGAGAAGATAGGTGGAGAGGAAACAGACAGGTCAAAGAGGCGGGGATGGAGTCAGTAAAGGTGAGTGTAGGTGGGGAGGTAGGGAGGAGATAGGTCAGTCCAGGGAGGATGGACAGGTCAAGGGGGCAGGATGAGGTTAGTAGGTAGGAGATGGGGGTGGGGCTTGAGGTGGGAGGAGGGGATAGGTGGGA